GTCACCTTCTTGTTCACAACCTGTTGCATCTTATTTGTCAGAACGACATCCAAGACTGATAACCTCCTAGTTGTAGCCTCAACCTTCTGAAACCTAAAGTTGTCATCCATGCATGTTAAGAACGTAATGGACATTTCTGCTATATTAAGTTCAAACAGTTCTGAGGGAATTTAAATCTCCACAACAGTACTTTCTCATAAGTTTTAAATAGCCTTGTTACCTGCTTTACCTGGAATCATAGATTCATAGATTGTAGAGTCAGAAGGAACCACAAAGGATCATCGTGTCCGACCCCCTGCCCCTGGCAGGAAAGAGGACCGAGATCACACGACCCCAGCCAAGTGACTATCAAGCCTCCTCTTGAAGACCTCCAAGTTAGGTGATAGTATCACCTCTCTTGGAAGCCTATTCCAGATTCTGGCCACCTTTACTGTAAAAAATTTCTGCCTAATATCTAACCTGAATCTACTCTCCACTAGTTTGTAACCACTACTCCTAGTTACTCCTCACTCTGGTAAACAGCACATCTCCAATTCCCTGTCGTCCTCCCCTGATAAACTCGTAGACATCTACAAGGTCTCCCCTCAGCCATCTCTTATGAAGACTGAAGAGATCCAGATCCCTCAACCTCCTCTCGTAGGGTTTTTCATGGAGACCACTAATCATGCGAGTGGCCTCCTCTGGACCCTCTCCAGATTCTCCATGTCCCTCTTTAAGTGCGACGCCCAGAACTGGACACTACTCCAGCTGCGGCCTTTCCAACGCCACATAGAGGGGGAGCATCACCTCCCTCGATCTGTTGGTCAGGCATCTGCTAATGCACAACAAGGTGTAATTGGCCTTGTTGATGGCCTCGTTACACTGCCGGCTCATGTTCATCTTGGAGTCAACTATGACTCCAGGATCTCTCTCTCAGCCACTTGATTCCTCAGCCGAATCAAGTATAGATCACATGCCTTTGAATGCAAGTATATATCAGATATCATATCAAGTATATATCATATGCCTTGAATTTAAGATGCACCCAAATTTTCTGAATCTCAATTTAAGTAAAAAAAATAAAACAGCAATTAAAGACATATGTACAAGAATGCAACCTCTTTGGGGCATATGAAGATTTTTTAAAAGCTTTTTTTGCCTTTTTCCTTTTTTAAACTAAAATTTAAGATGCAGGACATTGTTAGAAGAAACATTTAATTCTAAGCAATGCATGTTACTTTTCAAGGAATATGACACATTTGAGACATAGTGCAATACCACCTAATTTTTCTGCAAAACTTATCCTGAAACAATGTATGCTATTCCAATCATAGGGGCTTTCCCCCTAAGTTTCCCACTATGTTTCTGTAGCAACAAGTCAGTTTCTTTACATACTAGGACTTCCAGATTTTTCTGCTTGTTCCTCATACCTCTTGCATTTGCATATATGCATCAAAGATACTTTGCAGTCTGCCTTGCCCATTTTCCTCCTGCATCTTTTTGTGTACTAGCTCATCTTGAGAATTAGGCTCTCTCTCTCGGTCCTCAGCTCTTGACACTGAAGACAAGGTGCCAGTGGGTTTTCATCCCCCCCCTATGGGACCTAGTTTAAAGCCCTCTTCAACAGGTTGGCCATATGATGCCTATAGATGCTCTTCCCAATTTTTAGATCAAGCCCATCCTTTGACAGCTTTCCCAGAATGTCAGCTGTTATCAAAGGATCCAAAGCATTCCCATTAACTACATCTTTAAGGCTAGTGCTTACTTCCAGAATGCATCTGTCCCTTCCTGGGCCTTTCCCTTTAATGGGAAAAATGAATGAGAACACCCTCTGTGTCTCAAACTCCTTTATCTCCCTACCTCAAACCCTGTGATTTCCTTTGATCCATTCAAGGTCATTTCTGGCAGTATCACTGGTTCCCATGAAGACAAGCATGAAAGGGTAAGGTGAGGGATGGATGGAGGAGGTCCAGCAATCTTTTCTTCAGCTCCTCAATTCAAGCTTCAGGCAAACAGCACACCTCACCAGACTCCAGGTCTGGGCTTGAGATGGGTTCCCTCTCCCCCTCAGGACAGACTGCCCTGTCCTTTGGCATGAAGGACTCATATGCTTTCCTTCATCCATGCATCCTGGCACACCAGGACCAGAGCAACTTCCTTGTACAGCCCTGCGGAGAGTGCCTGCAGAAGTTCTGAAGCCAGTGCTGGTTACCCCAAGTTTAGTGAGCATGAAGCCCCTCTCCTTAGCATTATACAATTCCAGCTTTCTGGTTTGTGGGGTATGTTTGTGGTCCCTACCACCCATTATTTCTTCTGAGCCAGTTTCACTAGTATTTCCAATTCACAGAGGCTGAAAGCAGTTGCTACCCCTTTCCGTGTCTCCCAAGATCCGGTAATGCTTCTTCCCTGGATCACATGATGCCCCTTGTCTTCCTTGCTCTTCATCTTGTTCTGTACCATCCTCTCATGACTCCTATGCAGGAAGTCTTTATTCTCTCCCACAGTGCCCAAGATAGTTATGCCTCCAATCCTTACCCTTTTCCCTCAGATATAATCCCCAATTTGCACTTAGTATAATAAAGTCATCTTTGCCTTCAGGGAGAAATATAAACATGGCCCATTCCTTGAAATCCTCTTTGTTCTCTTCCTTCCTTTGATGCCTCTTAGTAAGAGGAAGGAGAAAACTCTCAGTCTTTCCCTGCTTCTTTCTCAGACAAACTTGCTCATCACCCACCAGACAATGATTTCCATACCTTAGATGAATGGAGGCCTGGAAGTATTTTTTCCTCTTCTATCTGAGGCTCTGAAGCAAGTTAAAGTAACTGCCTAAAGTAATGTTATGCTATCTCTATTGAAAGGTCCTTGGCCTTTCCCCCCAAAATGTAACCCCACAAAAGCCAATACCAGACGTTGAGAACAACATGGTGTTATAAACTCTCCTAGCACATTGCCTGCCCAGTACCAACGTTCTCTCCCTCTTTGTGGTGAGCCAAGATCAACATAAAGAGCAAGTCCAATCTCCTACTGTAAAAATTCACTTACTCCTTATGAGGGCAGACATCAGGCAGGCATGTGCACCACTGAGCGCCCCAGCACAGTCTGGAAATCCCATTTGCTCAAAGCCAAATCTTAGAGGTGGGGTTTAGCAATCTTCATCAAGTTGTTGCTGTGGTTTACTCACAACTGAGTCTCACAACACCAGCAACTACCTTGCCAATGCCAAACTGGTAAGACACTGGTTGGTAGCAGTCTGGAACCCACTTTGAGCTGGCGGCAGCTAGCCACCCCTAGACTCGTATGCTTTCCTTCATCCATGCATCCTGGCACGCCAGGACCAGAGCAAGTTCCTTGTACAGCTCTGCGGAGATTGCCTGCAGAAGTTCTGAAGCCAGTGCTGGTTACCCCAAGTTTAGTCCCACCACCTCTCTGCTCTTGTGGTCCTGCTTCAGCACTGTGGGTCAGGGTAGGGAGATTCACTCTCTTAAAATCCACATCAGCTGTCTCAACTCTTACCATTTCTGCCTGCAGCCAGTGACCTCAGCAAAGCCTGCCAGTTTCTCAAGGTGGCAAAGCTGCTGCCAAAATGCCTTCTACCATGCCTCATTCTCTCTATCTGTCCCCTGTTGCCAAGATGCGAGTTGCATTAATGCCAGCACAAAGGAACAACCTGTTATCCTGAGAGGGATAGGCCACAAACAGCAATGCAGAGTGCCAAGCCAGAATCACTGAAGTGTACTGAGCTGGCAGGCTAAGAACACTTCTACAGTGCAGCCTAGGAAGGTCAGACAACTTCTCCCATAATCTACTGCAAAATAATTCAGAGGGCATCACTGCTTAGTGAAGTACCAAGAGGAAGTCCTAGCACTTCACCCATCATCGTGCAGCACCAAAGCAGACATGGTGACCTTGTGGAGTAACAGCATCCTAGATTAACCGAGGCGCTCAGACATAGGTTAATTGTCTAGTGAAGATATGTAGTAAAGAAGTTATTTGGAAGTTTAACACAGTAGATTCTGCCTTCCAGTCCCAACAACTCCAAAGGCCTTTATCAACTCTACATCCCATCCTGATGCCCTTACTCAGGTGAGACTTGATACCAAAGTCTGAACACAGGACTTTTATGCATTACTTTAGAAAAAGGCCATTTTTACTGGGAAGGGTGGAAGCCTGCTGGCAGCTGCCTAAGAGCAAGAAGTGGGGACATGTTTCAGCTGGGACAAGGAAATACCTTTTCCTTACAGGAGGTGCTATGTGATCTCTAGTGTTTAAGTGGCAGGGTGGAGGGAGATCTTGGGTGTTTTAGGGTTTACTTGAAAGTCCACCATGAAAAGCAAAATAGTGGAATTCTTTCTGAAAATGTTCTTACTTGATTTGACGTAAGAACCTGGGGGTTTGCACTTGTGCATCTTGGGAGACTAAAAATGATAAATCCAGTGGTTAAACCCTGATATCAGGGGCATGTGTTCTTAAGGTTTTGTCCTTATTGCAGCTGTAACACCAATTATAACTGAAGCATTGCACTTAGCTCAAATTCTGTCCATATGCAAAACCCTTTGGACATGTCATGGTGCTTCCTAACCTGGGTCAGCTAGTCTGTTAGTGGAGCAGAGGTTGAGTTAGCACAGCAGATAACACAATTACTTCTTGAAGCCCATATTATTTTCCGGTATTGTCAACTCTTACTTGAAGCTGGTTAACCTGACAGGGGCTGACTCAAGCATAGGTAAACTCGAGTTAATTTGGCAGAGATACAAGTAGTGTGTAATTCAGAAAGCAAGTACTAAAAACTATTTTTATCCATTGGAAGAAGACCTGTGCTGTTGCAAAGCTTGGTCATACATGGGCAGAAAGCCCTGACAGTTGAAACTTTTCTTCACATTCATCCTAAATCAAATCTATTACATGAAACACATTTGCCATTTCAAATAAAGCAGTTCCCAAAAAACATTACAGTGTTAATACTTGGGGGAAGTTACTATTTTAAGAAAGGTGTATAAATATGTATTTAAAGCGTTACCCACGGCTATTGAGACAGCACTTATGACAGCTCCCAAGTAGCCCTGGATGAACTTGGATGTCGGAGAAGGCTTTGGAAAAAAGAAAACACACAGTTTCAGCACAGAGTTTGGGCTATTTAAATAAACATGACATTTCTTAATTAAAACAAAAAAGATAGTTTCACTCTGCCACATCTGCTACATCACATGTGGCTCCGTTAGCTAGTAGGAAGGCAAAAGCAAGAGGATTTGCCACCTAGTGAAATAAGTTAAAGAGCTTGGAAAAACACCTAACACAAGAAACTTGTTCACTTTTTTCCTGGGAATGTCATCTGTAAGTGTACTGTTAAATGGAAGAGATGCTAACATGATTACAACAAAGCCATTTGACTGAACTATTAGTCCTCTGTTGGTTATCTTGACTTGAAAACTCTTTTCAACATCAACATTTCATGCACAGATCAGATGGCTTCTAACACAGCTTCTTATCTTATGACATTGTGAAAATTGATGCAACACCATAAAAACTTGGATTTTTAGGGGGAAGAAAATCCAAGTTATGGGATTTTTTTTTCTTTACTAGAGACTAAGCTAGGCCTGGTTGGCAAGAAATGACTTCTCTACTGGCTCAATCCAATGGCAAAAAGCAGTTGAGACAGGACATCGGTCTGCCCTGCAGAAGAACAAGATCTTAAAAAAAACCCCAATGACTCACTCACACAAACTGATGACTAGGATAAATATTGGAGAAGAGAGGTCTGCCATCTGGAAGAAGCCCAGCCACCCCACTTTTAAACATTCTTCAAAAAACAGCATTTGTAACTGTATGGTCAAGGGATACCAACACAGTTCGTCTGAAAACTTTGTCTAGGAAATTTTCCTCTAGGAAAAGGGACAGGCAGACTAAGGAGCCTTTCAGCACTTCCCAGGGATAGTCATCCTGCTGCCACATGCTCGAAACCTGTATGAAGGAACAGATGGACTACCACTGGCTCATCCTAGCAGGTGGTTCTTGTTTGCTGGCTGGGTTAACAAGACTGATTCAAGTATCTCTGAGCAGAGGCAGCCAGGGTCTGGAACCACGGTCTCCAAATCTGGAGGAAGACTGTTACATTACTTGAGTTAGGCATAATATCAAACCCCTGAAGGAGGTAAGTTAGGCCCTGCAAGGTCTGGAAGAGGGAAGCTATGCACATTGCAAAAGTCCATCCAAGCCTAGCAGCTCACTGGGCTAGTGTTGTTAAGATGTGTACTTCCACAGCCAAAACCACACCGGGAAGCAATAAGGCTAGCATGTTGCTTGCATCACCTGGCACCCATTTATAAGTGGATCAACTGGAGAAAGGAGTCATGAGTCCAGAGGCATCCAACTGGTACCCAACTCAAACTTGATCGAGGTCCCCTGCATGTTACATTTTTCCAATGGAGGGCAACCTAGGGAACTGCAATCAGGCTGAGTCACCATGCAGCCAACTTGCCAAGCTACTGATAATACCCTGTGGACCATAGGTTACAAACCTGCTTTAACTACTTTCCCACTGAGCTCCTATTCAGAGCAGAGCAAAGCAGAGCAGAGCTTACTTCTGCCTGTATCACCTGAATTCAGACCAGTAACTCCCCTGCTATTCTGATTCAAATTTCTCTGTGCTAATATTTAGGATGCTTTGTAGACTGGAACAAGGCAAAACCAAGGACTAGAATGAAAACACAACACTCGTTTTACTTATCAGATAGACTCTTCAACTTTAAAGTGTCATTATAAGAGATTAAAAGGCAATTTATAAATCCCTGTGAGCACCTACCCTGAAGTTCCCGATTTATGCTTTTATAATTACAACAGATCAAACCCATTGCAAACTGCATGTGCAGAGACTGCTCACCTTTGTTGCATTTCGGTTTGCATAGTTGACACATGCGTTGTGGCTCTGGTTCAACCACTGAAAAGGAAACAAAAGGAGATGGGAGAAATAAAACAACTGTTTACAAAAGGGAAAAATGAATGCACCAGCATCCCTACCACTGCTGCAAAAAACCCAAACGATACACACACAGACAGGAAATTCTACCTTATCCAATTATACCCCCTACTGGGGCAGGGATATATTTTGTTACCCAAGCCAGAGAATTCAGTTATACATCTGTGATGGTGAAGAGAGGAAAATTAATTGCAGACATGTGCATTATTCTCCCTCCACACATACGTGCACACACTCCTCCCTCACTGGCGCATTTTTAAGGTGTTGTGCCTATTTGGGGTCTGACCTGATGTTCTTTCAAGTCAAGGGGAGTCTTTCAACCAATTACAATCGACAACAGATCAGGCACTAATTATACAGGTTAAGCGGGACACTGTCAGATAGTTTAGATGCTGAAGTGAAGCTTTTATTAAAGGTTTACAAAGTCTCCTACTCACAGGAGCTTTCCTGTTACACTTAAAATACCAAAGAAACCCACTAAGCTTAAGTTCAACTTCCTATTGAAGCAAGGGTAAAATAATGGCTTTATGCTATTATTTATAGCTGTTCTTGCAGTAAAGCCAAGAGGGTCCAACAGACTCCAGAGTCCCGCTGTGCTAAGCACTGTACATACAGGTAGTGACACATGTCCATAGTTATCTTTCTTGAGGGATAGAAACTCATGTCTTCTGGATAGAGCCCTGAACGGAATAAAAAGACTCATCTCTCATTTCTCTGTGGACCATTGACCAGTGTCCCCCTTGCCCCTATTAACTATCCGATGCCCACTCCTGACATTATGCCCTCTATTCTGCAGTTCACACCATCTTTGGACTTTCCCTTGTTACAAGCACTAAATTTGCATGCACAAGAAAACAGACCCACATAATATTTAAATGTTATGATAAAAAGTGATCTAGCACTGGAAAGATCAAAATCTTCTTTAAAACTCCCTTTCCTTTTATGCATTTAGCATCAATGCTGTGTAGTGACTTGACACTGTTCTTCCTGCTCTGTTCTAGTAAATCCCTTCTGGAAATGGCAGGATAGGACAACAAGCAGCCAGTCCTTTAATCATTCATTAAACTCAGTGGTTCTCAAACTGTGGGGAGGTTTGTTCAGGGATCACAAAGGGCTCTCTATTTGATATTTCAGGCTCGTCTAACTGATATTTCCATCCTCATCTTCACTGCCTGCAACCACAGGAAAGTAGTGCCATGTTCCTGAATTGAGGTGCTTTATCCACAGCAGAAGTTGTGAATGAAAAGAATTTGGGTTCTTTTCACATGGCAGGAACCACAAGTAATATGCTTCAGTTGAAGAGTACGATACCACTGGCACTTCTCCAGCTAATGGCCAGGACCTAAAAGGAGAGAAAGGCTTGAAAAGCAGTTACATGAGGGCAGACATTGACAGAGAAAGGCCATATTGGGCAAAGCAATATTGGTGATCTGAAAGCGCTACTAGCAAACTTTTCACATCAAGAAACCCGTGGGATACTAGAATTCATCCTGTTTGTTTAAAAATATATAAATATATGAGATACTTTTTGCCAATAGAAACTGACTCTGCTCTGGTGTCCACATGCATCTTTGCTGGTCTCTACTTATTGGACACTGTAGGAGAGGTCCAGAGGCAGTGGGAGCTCTGTAAGAAACCCTCCAAACAGTGGGAACTGAGTTTCAAGAACCCAAGGCAAAGCCCTGGAGCAGTCACAGTGCAAAAGCTCTACGACATCTACCAATCAGCTCAAATACATAAAATGGGTCCAAGTTTTGCCTCATCCTCTTCCTACCTTAAGCAGCCTTTATAATGGGGATAGCTCTGTACTCCACTCCCTGGCTCCGCTGTCTCTGGAGAAGGCTGACTAACGCCCTTCTGGGCTCTTCAGGGGGCATCTGGATGGCTGCTCCCCCATTTGCAGTTGCCAGAGGGTCAGGCAGTCAGGCCCAGGCCCTACTTCTGGGGGACAGCTACTGAAGGGAAGGCATTGTGAGCATCCCTTTCCTTCAGCAAGAGTGGGACTCAAAAAGGCTTCAGTGGGTCCCATTGTTGCTGCTCCGATGACTGCTTACTTCAGTCTGGGGCCTGATATGCCCTGGACTGCAACGTGCATATTCAAGGTGCTGTGGTTAAAGTATTGTCAATTCAGGTGCATGGGGCTGCTCTTCTTCAGCTGCTGCTCAGAACCTGGGAAACAAAACCGAAGAAAAGAGAGAAAAGGGGAAAGAAACAGAAAGGAGTTAGAAAAAGGGAACAGAAAGGGGCCAAAATAGAGAATCAAAAAGCTAATGGTAAGGCAGGGCAGAGGAAGAAAAAAAAATGCAGGGGATGAGGGGAGCAGAGGGAGAAAACACCACTGGAAGAGAAAAATAAGTTCTCTCTTTGGGAAGTCTGGTATCTCTCATGCTTTTTGTTCTATAAAACAGAGAGGGCACCTGAAATTCAATGTGAGGACTCCCAAAATGAACCTCAGATGCTAATGCTGTGACTTGAGGCCATGCAGTTTGACGGTGGGTGCAGCAGGTCATCACGACTAGCAAGTTTGAGAACCACTGAGAGAACTGCAATTCCCTAAGTGTGATCCAGGCTGTCGGAGTTGCGGGCTACAGCCCTTCCCTCTGTTGTTGGCCAGCTCTGCATCTGGTCACATCTGAGGAACCAGACACAAAATCTGACAGTCTGTCACGCAGCTAGAATCCTACATTTCACATGCCAAACTCTGCTGCTGTGCAAGTGCACGTAATTGCCAATGAAGTTGGTGTGGCTCTATAAATTGGCCTGTCATGCTCCTGTAGACCGCTGATTTTTTTTTTTAAATACTCTTTTCAGTTCTAAATAAGGATTGTGCCATCCCTCCTTCCATCGAGTAGCTGCACTGAGGACTGCCACTGATTTTCCCGAGACTTACTATACAGTATGTTGCTGCAAGTAAGAAAAACTGGCCTTTTATGCGATTCTCAATTAAATAGGTCCTGTGCTCCCAATCAGAGCCCTGGTTAAGAAAAGAACCTTTTGTGTTCCCAAGAAATACAAGATTTTCCCTTGACTCTGAAAAGGGACTGGCAGGAGAGGGAGAAGGTGGAGATTGATATCAGTGGGATGTGTTCACATAAGAATATGACTAAGGACTACTCCTATAAGTAAGAGTATCACTGCTTCACTGAAAATCAATGGTTGTTTTGCAGTTGACTTCAGCAGGCATTGGACTAAACAGCAAGTCCTCGGGGGTAACAGCAGTAGGAGACACAAACAAATATACACGTCTCTAGCCATAGTGCTATTAAAGTCGCACGCCATACAAGACCCGGCTTTAGCTGTTGAAACCATGTGGTCATAATTTACTGTGCTCAAATTAAAACCTACAAAATCCGAGTATTGCTCCTATATTCAGGCTAGACCTCAATGCCGTGGCACTTAATGCCATGCCTCACTTCAATAAACAAAAAATTTTAACCAAGCAAAACCAGCTTCTAACTGGATGTATTCACTGTTTCAAAGGAACAGGGGACTGCAACGAGCCTCCCAGGTCATTAAGGCCAGCCCTTGCTTTCGCAGGCATTCATTTGTCCAACAGGAGCTACAAGAGCCTCTACGTCAGCCCCCACCTCACAATGCAGACACAAAGCACCCATCCGAAGACCTATGGCACGTTACCTGTTAAGGACAGGAGAGACAAGGGCGCTACCAATGCCTTTACCACGGCACTGGCAGAGAACGTTAGGGGAAAATATTCTCAGTTGATCCTAAGAAAGGGATCACACCCTGACATGCCCTATATCACAAAGGAAGATAAGAAACATCAATGGCCCCTAAACTGGGATATTTACTATGGCTAAAATGCTCTCCCCCGCCACACGCACAGAAAAACTAAGTGAAAAACTTATTGCAAAATATTAGCCAAAGCCCCACCTGTCTCCTGTACTGTACTAAGCAGGCAGGACTGGCAAGGAACTCAGCTCTGGAGTCTCTTACATGTATGGCCCAGAGTGATATCTGAAGACCTACTGTATTAGAGACCTCTTAGGACCCCCCAGCCCTGTAGATGAGTTTTGTCCAAAGTATATACAATCTGGAGCCAAATCTACCTGCCAGAACGTCTCCCAGAACAGCAGAGGTGGTAGCAACCAAGGTCTAATCCTCAATGGATGTTGCACCTGGTGTCATCATTTTCACCTGGGTGAAGCACAGGTAAAATGCGGCCCTTGACATTTAGTTCCATGTGACACGTCCTTCGCAAAGGTGTAAATGATGACACAAGTGGCAGGCCAGGCCAGGCCCCAGGGGTTTTATTTGCAGCATACTTTCCTCCTACCCCAAAGTTTCCAATTACATCCAGCCATATCCTCTTCTTATTAACTAGGATGCTCTTGATGGAGAAGGGTAATCAGGAATGTGCCTTAGACAAATCGTCTTGATTTTGGGGGGCCATGCTGCAGATGCAATTCAACGATGCTTTTCTTTTTGTTACGTGGTCCATAGACTCAATGCTGCGGCAGAAGATTGTTACCTGCCAAAAAACAGTGGATGCCAGCGTCTGGTTTGGCAAGAGAAGACCAACAACCTGGAAAAGATGGAAAAAAAAAAAGTAGCAGCACAAATACACCACCAGTTTCCTCCTTGTGCTTTCTATACATTAAAACAATGAGTTTCCTTCTAAGAAAATGGAAAATCTATCTGGTCTTTCAGTATTTATGAACTACCCCATGCCAGAACCTGAGCATGGTTAAAAGAAAATAATCAATAGGCATTTACAAAGCAGGGTTCTCTCTGTCTGTCTGTGTCACTCACTAAACCCCATTTATTTTCTCTTCATTTCAATCTTCCCATCTGTAAAATAGGGGTAACTATTCAGATCATAAGGTTTCATGAGCCTCGGTGACTTTGTAATATGCTTGGAGAGCCTCAGATGGAACTTGTTCAAGAAAGGTTAGGTACAAGTAGTGTTGTCATTTTGAAGATTAGCTCACAGTCAGAGGTTACACAGTTTATACAGCTCACTGCCAAAAGTTACACAATGAACAACTATTTGATAGAAATTCCTCGTGGAATCTCTCTAAAAAAAAATCAGGGGGGGCCAGCCTGCAGGTATGAGTGCCACAAGTGGCCCAGGCGGCCTGCATGGCATGCAGCACATCAGGAAAGGGCAGGCAGCACACCAGCAAGTGGTACAGGGAACAGAAAGCAGAGGAGCAGACTGGGCATGGGGTGGGGGGTTGGTGTGGCCTTTGAGGAGAGCCTGGGGCTTAACGTGAAAGAAATCAGATTTTACTCTTTGAGAGCAGAGGCTTGCCCCCTGGAAGCAGAGGATACATTCTACCCAGCGCTACAAGCACTCTGGATGTCCTTGTGTTAAAAAGTCCATTCCATGGGATAGAAAAAGAGGAGAAACCTACAACTCTTTAAAGAGCCCACTCTCCACTGGAGGATGCACAAAGTACAATGGAAAGCCTCCATGAGAAAAGACTGCTGCAGTGCGAGGGACTAAGAAAGGAGATAGGAGCATATAGGGAGGAAGGACCTAAGCCAACCCACTCAAAACGTTTCCTTGGGAAATGAACCTCCAGCTAAGAGACAGTCTGAAGCATCACTCCTTTGCAATGCTGTCTTCTCTTTCCTTCAAGTTCCCTAGTTCTTTGGTAATTTTGCAGACAGACAAAGTGTTTCCATAATGTGAAGATGATCTATTTTGAACATGGCCAAATGGAAAGCCAGGTGCTTCTCCTGCATGGGTGCGAACGACCTACTTAAGAGAGGATCCCAACCTGACTGATCAACGGTGGGATGCTATTTTTGGTAGCACTTTTCCCTCTGGGCTACAACACAGTGGACTCTCTCATTCACTTTGGACCAGGCCATTGGATTCCTCTCTGACTTTATTCCTGCACAAGCCAAGAAGAATAAAAGTCTCCATAATAGCATGCCCTTCCCGCCGCCAGCAAAAAACCCTGGTCACAGGGAGGGGTTGCACAGCTATAGAAGTTGCACAGGAGAGAAAGACCCTGAAAAAGGGCACGAGACAGTTTGGGCTGGATTAGTCTGAGCCCTCCTATTAGCCGTTTTTCCTCCTAACCTCTGCCTCACACCTGCTGAACCCCAAACCAGGGAACCTCACATGAATCGATTCTTCACGCCCAAGACACATGCCATAGTATCCACTCCCAATGAATTTAGCTTAGATGTTTCTACCGCAGTTGCGCCTCTTTACACCAAGTTTAATTTAGCCCTGGGTCAACTGGGTTAAAGAGAGTTAGAGGAAGAGGCCCCTTGCCAGGATAATAGTTTATCTTCTGAAGCTCAGAAAAATTAAAAAAAAAAAGAAAGAAGGAGAAGGAGGGAGGGGGAGAATAGGAAATAAATAAAGAACACCCAAAAATCTGCATGACTGAAAGAGGCACGTTTAATGCAAACTCTCCATATGTGCAAGAGTCTGTCAAGGAACATACAGCTTCACTTTTAATTACTGTCAGAATTTTTTTTAAAAAGGATCTAAAAAGGAAAACAAAATTTAAAAAAAAAAACCCTAAACACCAGAAATGTATCAACCACCAATTTTAATTGGCTGGCAGGTACAAATGGTTGTCAGTGGCCTCGAAGCCAGGGGAGAGAGATTTTCCCCTAAAGAGCTGTTGATTTGGAAAAGAGGTACAATGAGAGGAGTCTGCGAGCGGGTTCTTTGTGTTTGCAAACCCCCAGTCCTTGCCTGGTGGTTACAGAAAGTGGATTTATCTGTGATTCCATGTGAACAAGGAAACTCAGCTTTTATCTGCTGCAGTATTGTCAACTTCAGCGTTCAGAAACTGAGAGTGAGCTGCCACCCACCTGCCTCTCTCTGGTCCCTGCCATCCACGGTATCACTTAAGCATGCAGTTTTTTTTATTTATTATTTTCTCCCTTGCATTTGAGCCTCTTGTGTCCAGCTCCCCAGCCTCTCGGCACAGCCATATATCAGATTCCCCCATAATCAGATGGCCCCAGGAGCTTAGGCTTTAGGGAACAGGCCAAACCACCAGGGTCTGATGGCACTTGCCTGTTGTGCATTACTCCCCAGGTGCTTTACAAGGGGAAGCAAGTGCCTTCCACCCTTTTACAAATGGGGCAGGATTGCAGGAGTGATTTGCCCAGGATATCCTGCAGTTATGTGACACAGCCAGGAATGAAACCTCTGGCCTCCTAGCAGTGTCAGGTCATTCATCACGATTAAGTAAATGAGAGTAAGCCACCTCCTGACTCGATGCCTTCTTCTCAGCTAGAACCAGAAAACTGCCCCACTGGCTGTGCCTGCACTGCACCAGACAGCGTATTTTAATTTGCCTAGGCAAGCAGGAGTCATCAGCTTGGCAGAGCCCCGTGCTAACGTAGCTGGCCTGTTTCCAGTACCTGAGCTTTACCTGCTTGAGGTAGCTCTGGTTTATCTGCATGCCTAAATGGTACAGTGTAGGCAGCCCCACAGCCTTTTCACTTGAGGAAATCCCATCCCCCTTTGCTCAATGCAAGGCTCAAACAGTTTTTATGCTAGAGCAGGCTGCCAATTTTGTCACTAAATTTCACAGATCGATTGGCATAAAAGCTACATTTTAATTTTAACATTTGAAAATGGTTTTTCCCCCTCCTTAAATGACAAGAGGTTCCAGTTTATCCTTTGCAGCAAGTGAAATTGGGCTCATGTGACAGCTCGCAGCTCCTCTGACAGCTCTGGATTTGGGCCGATTTCACTGTCAACTTCATTGCTCACTCGTTTTTGTTTAACCTTTTCTTCTAGAATGCCCCACGCAAATTACCACCAAAACGGTACATACAACCACAACAAACAACAATAACTCTGTTCACCTGTACCTTTTGTGGCCACGTTAACTTCTTCCTTGAGAAAGACTGCTTCCCTCAAAGCATGTGCCGTGTGCCTCAGGCCACTTGTAAAGCACTGTAGTGGCACAAGCTAGTGGACTGAGCAAGCGTGAAGCCCAGATCAGACTCAGATGTTTTTAAAACATGGCTCTGACAACAACTAGTTTTGTAACCATCCCCTTTGCCTCAGTTTCTCCATCTGTAAAATGGGTTCAATACTTAGCTACTTCAGACAGAGAGCATATGGCTTAACTGCTGCTTCAGTAAGGGAAATACAGTCAAGCAGATCATTATTCAAAACAAATGATAGAGTCAAACTGAAAAGTGAACGAGAGGCACATGTAGCAGAAACTAACTAATGGGCAGTGAAGCATCATTAGCTATAGTAAGAAAGGATTTTAAATTTTCACTGTGAGAAAGAAACACGTATAGAGGAGAGGGAGGAAGCTACGGCTCTTGGGTTTATAGGGCCCTTACTGATCTTGCCCTTCAGAAGAGGCTGCATGCTCAACAAGAGGAAAAAGGACCTAAGTAAGAGCTGCAAAGGTTATGCTTCACAGGTGTTCACTGCACCTCGGCCTCTTCTTTGGAGCAGGAGTCAGATGGAGGGTGAAACAAAAAGCAGAGACAAAATACAAAAATAGCAGGAGTGCGTGTGTGGAGTGGGGGGTTGTGGGGTGAATAATATGTAACAGCCAAACAACCTTAAACATGACAATCTCGATCCATCAGGGCACATTTTGCACAATGAAACCCTTGCTAAGGCGTGATGGGAAAGGTGTGAACATTTTGTGAATTTGTCACAGCCAAGTAATGTGGAATTTGGAGAATTCTATGCGAGTGCTAAAAAATGCATTTCCTGTTACACTCAGGCAAAGTGGGGAGAGATGCTAAAATACTTACGATGGGTGTTCCAAAAGGAATGTAACCTATTAAGAAAAACAGAAAAGAGAAGATATATGCATTTTAATACAGAGTTTCAGGGGATAAATCACACCTGAAAGAGCTAACACTGCTACCAAGGCAGGATGAGAGACACTGGGCACACTGCTTACACTAGTTTCAGGCCAATTTAACTTCAGGAGAGTTGCTCCTGATTCAGGAGAAAAACTGATACTGTGGTCCTACTGTTTTTACCAGCTGTCTGCCCCATCCTCTGTATTCCTCATGTGTTTTAAGAGTTTCCCTAGGATTTGAGTCATGATCTACATTACAAAAGCTGTTTCCATATAACTGTCAACTAGAGGAGTGATTTTTTTAAAATTAATATAATTATACTGGCATAAACCCTAGTACAAATGCAATTGTACTGGTGTGCAGGTACCTTATACTGGCACAGCTTGATTCTCTTTCTAAATCTGAGTAAATGTTACTAATAAAAGCACTTTTAAGCTAATCTAGTACGCTGGGTGTAGGGTGTGGACTGCTTGCTGCTTTAGCTATTCCAGTACAGTTAGAGTAGCAAAACTTTCTCCTAGAGACAAGTCTTTATCCCAAACCAAAGTCATCGGGTGCTTCATATGCTGCCCTCTGCTACAGATTCTCCTCTTCACAGTCCGTTTCATTTCAGTGGCATCTTCCAGCAAGGGAGGGAATGCTCACAAACCCATTTTATGGACAGGGAAACCAAAGCTCAGGGAGCTGGATCAATTTATCAAAAATTATACAGCAGTTCAGTGGAAGAGCTAGGAATAGGACCCAGGAGTCTTGGCTCGCTGCTGCTGTGAGTTATCCCAGCCAGTTGCCCTTCCTCTCCAAAAGGTTTTGGAGGATGAAGGCATCAATCCTGCTGCTTTGATCACATGCACAGATCCTTGCATCACATGCCCCAGCTCAGCACTTCTGAAACAAGAGGAAGGTCTCATCTGAGAGGCACTGTCCTCAGGGACTGCTCGAGGAGCCCTGCCACCAGGAGCCGCTGCCTGGTCAGGCCATCTCCTGTACTGAAGGAGGGAACACCAGGAAGAGGGGGAAAGAGGTAAACCTGATTTAATAATAATGCAGTGGCAATTCCCTTAGCCCAGTGCAGCTCACTTAGAATACACCATAAAAGTGGTGCAGACAGACTCTGCAGGAGGAGGACGAGGATGGCTGCAGCTCACCCCTGGGCTGGCTTGGCTGGTGCCTTGCTCCATTACTGCTCTACTTTGGTTCTCGCACTATGCTCATCACTAGGGACTTGCCTAAGTCACGGTGAGACAAAGGGTTTTTTGTGGCCCCCTTGCAGGCTGCAGAGCTGCTTTCGCAGGCATTTTGTGGTGGCCCCACCCCTCACCGCTGATTGGTGAAGGGCACCTTCACTCAGTCTATGCCACTACCCCTTTTTTATTTGGTTGATTTTGCAGGAAATCACAGCCAATGCTGGACTTCCCAGCAATCATGGCAATCGAAGACATTGTTTTTTGTCGTTTCTGTGAAACCACAATTCTGGTGGGTCCCTACACATCACCCCAAGTGTGTGACTTATTCTTCAAGAAAGCACTGAGGTTTTTAGGCAGTAGGTTTCTCTTCAGGCCCCGAGGTTAAAATGAATGCTGACATTTGAGTAAAGGAAGCCTAAATACTAAGATCACATGCACTTTAAAAATGAGTTAAGCTACATGCAGATGCTTAGGTGAAGCTGAGAAGAGAGACAGACAGACACAGGCAAAAATGAAACAACGCCTAGTGCATTATTTTGGGTAAGATTAATCAGACAGATCAATGCCTTGGTTAGAGGATATACAATACCTGACATTCTGAAAGGCATGAAGATAGTCTCATTTGTATCAGGATGTATGATGGCCTAGAAAACAAACAGCAAATAGAAAGAATGAAGGCATGGAGATGGCTGGCAAACAGGAGAGAGACTGACCCTTTTCCTGCTGCCCCTTCTGTTGAGTATGTTTAACCAGAGGGCAGGTGTGCACAGGTACCCATGTCTACACAAGAACAGACAGCATGCTGCATGGGGCTCAACATTTTCAGTGGAGTCTGTTGGAAAGCCAACCCCGACTTAGCTTTCCTGCCCTTTTTTAAAAGTCTTTTACATTATCTAATACTGATGAAAAGTGACAGACTGGAAATGCTGGAAAGACTGAAGGATGGATTATTATGGACAGTAGTTAGGCCCATAAAGACTATCCAGACTGCCTTAACTAGGAACTACCCATTAGGACAAAAGCATTCAGTCACTATATCCCATTCATTACTTGGTGTCTCTCCTGTATCTGCGAAAAAGGCCAGTTTTGATGGTGGGCTGTTTAATCTGGGTGTGAAGGGAACAATCACATGCCCCAGAGGGTCATTTATATGAGCTTTGCAAACCAATGCAAGTTATACCCAAATCAGGAGCAGACAGACATGCAACAATCCTGCAAGTGCACACAGTCAGTGCCTATTTGTGCGCCTTACCAAGAGGCAACAGGGAGACAGGTACTGGCCTCTTTCCAAAGAATTAGCCTAGGATGGCTGTGGGCAGAAGAAATTTAAACCAGTGTAACTTACAGCAGCAGAGTTTATAGCCAATTCGTGCAGGGGTAAGTCTATACCAGGTCTGGATGAAGTTACCTGACTTCAGAGGTTTTTATCATCTGTCTGCTACTTTTTTTAAACTGGTATAAATGTGTCAGGTGTCCATGCCTCAAGACTAAATTAATTTCATTCCAGTCAAGCCTTTACCAGAGAGTTATTCCCATCTCCTGGCAAGTGGACTATACAAGAGCTAGCAGGTGAATTAGTGGCCAGGCAGCTGGCCTTTTCTATGCATACATTTCTGGTCTTGACACAGGGAAGTTTTTGAAGAAAAAAAAGCAATCCATTCTAAGCAACTGCTCAGGACAGATTTAAAAATTATTCCAAAAAATTCCTTTGGTTTCCCTGAGTAAATGCAGCTGTTCAGAAGTTCTTGCAATTATAAAACTAAAAGCACACGTTCTGAAATGATGGATTTTATTTAATGCTTCCTTACTTTAAACATGATCCCCCTCTACATCTAGCTATACATTTTTTCTGGAAGGGAGGGTGAACACAGTACCCACATCTCACAACAATAATGGAAGATTTTGCCTACTTCTATGTACAACCGTTTGACAGTCAGGACTAGGGACAGCTGGGAATTTTGCTACAAAAATCCAGCAGAGGTGGACTAAAATTGCAATGGCATGGTCAACTGGCGCTGATGACAAAAAGTCTTCAGAAAAATCCTCTTGATTCCAATATAGGCTCATAACATTTCTTCTAAGGGTATGAGGCCAGTTCAACGTTCATGCTAACAGGCCTTGGCTTCTCTGCTGAGACTCCCAGGCCCAGGAGACAACTGTAGGGGTTTCTGTGGTTTGTTGATCTGTTGGAGGTTTTTTATTTTTTTATTTTACACTGTGGACATCAAGAACTGGAAGGAGTCTACCCACTTGTTCTACTCGTGACCCAGCCGTGCATAACTCACTTAGCTTAAGCTAGACTTGGATCCAAGCTGGTGAGGCTACATCAGCATAGAAAACTGGGGTACATGTGTTGAGAATCAGGCAGAAATTCAGGATGTTCCCAGTGAAAATATGGCAGAATTTATCATTCCTGAAGAATGATTAAACTACTCAGTGAGAAAGTGGAGACCAAAAGTCTCTTGGCTAGATAGGTGGGAGAAAAAGACAACACAAAAACATAAACACTAAAATAAAATTAAGAATCTTGGGCAGAAACTCGTTGTTAGCATATGCATTTTCTCTGGCAAGACAGTAGAGCAGCTGAAAAACCTGTAGTGGAGAGAAGAGCAACACATTTTTCCCCATTTATAGAAAACAGATAGGAAACAGTGATATTTAACAGAAATAAAATATTTAAAATCACTTTACCTGCTTTATTTTTTGAGCTCCCCACAGCTAGAAAAAATAAGAGAGAACATTAAAGACATCAGCACAGTAGCCGCACGTTCTGAGAACCAAAGGTTCATACAAAATCAGAAACATCAGATCTCTGACCCATTACAATAAAGAAAGGAAAATTGCTCCAAGAAAGAAGCTACTTCTCTACACTTCTTAGAGGTATCTAAGATGTAGCGACCTATTCTTCCATTTTCATCCATACTGGGCGCATCTACATGTGCAGATGCTGTGGAGTGGGCTTACTCTAGAGTAAACCCACCCTGGGCAGGTGTCTACACGAGCGGGAATTCAAAAGTAGATTTGCTGCTCCTGGCTGCAGTCTGCTCCTACCCTCTCTGGCCTTGTACCAGCCCCCTACAGCAGCCAAGGGGAGCTCTAGTCTCCCCCTGATCTGCTGGTAGGGCAAGGGGCTAGGACCTGCCCCTCCCCTGCAGTTCTTTCAAAACCCCCTGCCCCCAGTTGAGGAGCTGGGACCAGTAGCTCCCTGCTGCTGGGGCAGGGGAACATTGTCTCCACCCGGGCTGTGCTACCGGATGGCAGCAGGCAGCTCCCTGGGTCAGGGAGCAATCTCTTGCCCCCTGCTACCTGGCTGACTGGGAGCAAACTGGTCAACCATTTACACATGCTGTACTGTGCAGTAATTACTCAGCAGTTAATCTGCTACTTGCCTCATTAGCTGGAGAAAGCAAAAGATCCTCCAGGCAAACTGAATAAGAGAGAGGCTGAAGCCTAGCACTCTCTAATTGGACACAGCTTGGGTGATGCCACACCAGGGATACAAGAACAACTCAACTAAGGTTTCTCTCTGTTTCTCCTGGGGTGGCTGAGAGCTGCACAGATGAATTGGGAGCTAGAAAACCTGCTCCCCACGGGGGCAGGTCTGCCCCCGCTTCACTGGAGAGGCAAGCAAAAGCTGTGTCACAGGAAAGCCTCAAGTAGAGAGAAAGTAAGTCTGTCTTGGAGTTTGAGACTCCTGTTCCCTCCCTCTTCCCCCCCTCCCCCCGCTTTTTTTTTCCTTGAGTGGGGGTATTGATCCCTGGAGCAAAGTGATCAGCAAGGGAGTCCTGGCAGTTTTGGCAACACAAGCCTTGGGTGGGATAATATGATTGGGGTCCCAGTCTACCTGGCCATGGGTGAAGCCTCCCCAAGAGGATGCCACCTATAGATTTTGCTTTGTGCTTAAGAGTATTTTAAAATTATATTTCACGTTTTCTTTTGTTTTGTTTCATTTTCTGTAATGAATTGAGTGTTTGTGTTTACACTGCTTGCAAGGAAGGTTTTTTTGTTTATACGGGACACCCCAGCAAATTTAGTCTTCCCATTTTTCTGGGTGGGGGCTCAAGCCACTGGTATAATTTCTGAGGTACCCTGAAATGGGAACTCGGCCCTTTCTGCTGGAGACCGGTGGCCACCAGAAAGGCTACACTAGCTTCAACAACATGAGCAACCCAGTGGCTGCTTTTTACAAACACTGGTGCAACAAAACCAATCACCACTGAAAAACATTTATGGAGAAGGAAAGTATCACAAAAATTCACACCCACATTTATTATTTTTTCTAATAGTCATGCCTGAAGACCTCAAGTGGGGGCCCTGTTCAGCCAAACATATAGAAGAACATGGTCCATGCTTCAAACAGCTCATGATTTACATTAAATAAAAGATGTAACAGGTAAGCATTACTAAGAGAGAGGAAAGGAAGGGGAAGGAAGATGGGATGTGACAGATGGCAATCCATCACTTCCAAGGCCAGAAGGGAACATTGAGACCATGTACCCCAGGGCTGGCCAACC